ATGTTCATAACCACTTTCTATAAGGACACATTTGAAAAAGACACAGAACCCTATCAAAATATAATACTTTCGATAAATATCTAATTATTAAAGTAACACTAATCCTGGAGCCACGTTGTAACTAAATTAAATACACGGAGGTCCGCCATCTTTACCCAAAACACACTCATGCTTAATTTTCTTCAATCATGCAACACACAATCCACATTCTTTGCAACCTCAAACTTATATTTCTGGACATACAAGTTACCACATACAACTTAAAAGGAGTTGTGAAAACCTTGTGAGTGCAGCCGAGTCTAAAATAATCATGATACTGACCTGTGTTTGTGCAGAGAACAAGAAGAAAAACTCATGAGATGTTGTCTGTCGGCAGGCAGGTTCTTGTCTGAGCACTGAGCAGACAACCACACCCGGGACTCACCTTGGGAGAACCTCCTTCTACTGGTGAACTATAAAAACTGCAGTTACCCCAAAACTGGAAACCAAGTGTTCTATAATTGGAGATGGGACCTTGCTTAAATAAAATATACATCTTAAAACCTATAATGCGATAAACCACTTAAGGGCATTACAGTAGCAATAGCAGCTAGCTACTTATGAGGCTGATAGTAGAAGTAGTAGTTAGTACTTATAAGGCAGCTAGTAGCAGTAGCAGCTACTAATGGAGTAGCTAGCTGCTAGCAGCAGTAGCAGCTAGCTACTTATGAGGCTGATAGTAGCAATAGCAGCTAGCTACTTATGAGGCTGATAGTAGCAGTAGCAGCTAGCTACTTATGAGGCAGCTAGCAGCAGTAGCAGCTAGCTATTTATGAGGCAGCTAGTAGCAGTAGCAGCTAGCTACTTAATAGGCAGCTAGTAGCAGTAGCAGCTGGCTACTTATGAGGCAGCTAGTAGCAGTAGCAGCTGGCTACTTATGAGGCTGATTGTAGCAGTAGCAGCTAGTACTTATGAGGTGGCTAGTAGCAGCTAGCTACTTATGGGGCAGTTTATAGCATTAGCAGCTAGTGATTGCAGCCAGTAGCTGTAGCAGCTAGCTAAATGTGAGGCAGCTATAAGCATTAGACGTTAGCTACTTATAAGGTAGCTAGTAGCTGCAACATCTAGCTACATATGAGGCAGCTAGTAGCAGTAATAGTTAGCTACTTTAGATGCAGCTAATAGCATTAGCTGCTAGCTACATGTGAGGCAGCTACCAGCAGAAGTTAGCTACTTATGAGGCAGCTAGTAGCAGTAACTGCTAGTTTGTGCACTTCCCAGGGACGCTCTAGTGGCGATGGTGTGTGTGTGTGTGTGTATGTGTGTGCGTGCGTGCGTGCGTGCGTGTGTGTGTGTGTGTGTGCTCTGTCTTCTCCATGACCAGTGAGTCATGGCAGATGGCTGCTTATACTGAGCCAGGATCCTCTGGAGGTTTTGTCCTGTTAAAAGGGAGTTTTCCTCTCCACTCTCGCTGCATGCTTGCTTAGTATGAGGATTGCTGTAAACACTCTGACACTAGTCAGTGACTCGATGCAACCTGCTGGGTTCCTTATATAGGAAACTTTTTACTGATTGGCTTAATGAGCTGACCTGTATTGGAATGTTTACTGTGTGAAGGTCCTTGAGATGACTCTGGTCCTGGTTTGTTGTTATAGAAATAAACTTGAATTGAATAAATGTGTAAAACTAAACTGACGATGGTTTAAGGGTCCTGCAGAAAACCTGCAACAGGTGAGATCATAATTGTTCAAAGATGTTCTCGATGAACAACCCCCCTTCAGAATATTATAAGTAAACTGTTTTATTACAGACAATATTCTTCTATTCCCACATTTCTGTTTCACGCTCTCATCCATGAACTCATTGTGTTAGTAAGTATCTGGTGGAACAAAATTCATGAATAAATGAAAGAAAAATTGATTTGAACGAGTTTAAACTCTGTCTATAAGATGTTGTTTGTTCTCAGAAAGTCTGAGTTACCCATGCTGCAGACTTCCTGCTCTTTGGGTCCCGGTGCCTCCGAGCCACTGCTGGATCTGCATCCTAAGCTCGTAACCCGCAGAGAAAAAGCACTTGTGCCTGTCACGTCTTTGTGACTCATTAAATATTAATGGTAGTGTTTGTTTTATTTATTCAGTGTTTCACCGACTGAGATTCAAGGCCCACTCTGACTTAAAGGAAATACTTTGGAACTTGTTGTTTCTTCACACGGGGATTTAAAACGCCCAAAGGTCAGTAAATCCTCTGCAGATGTTCCTCCAGTTTTCACACTAAACACTGAAGAAATGCAGCTTCTCTATCTGTGTTGCTGTCTGCTGACTCATGCTGCCCTTTCAAGTTTCTCACACGGATCCACTTTGTTTCTCCTTATCTTGTTTCCTTGTGACAGTTCGGTCCAACCTTAAATCAGGATCTAGATGGTTTCTGTTAATGGGAATAATCATCATCAGGTGGATTCCAGGATGCAAATGAGATAAAATAATGTGGTTTGGCTACATTTAGATGACAATGACACCCAAGTGTCTGATTATGTTGGACATTTAGATATTCACCTGCAGTACCTCTGACTGTTAGCAAGAGTTAGCTTAGCGGTGGTGAGTTCACAGGCCTTAGAAGAGAAAGTACTCTGGGAAAAGGTTTGAAAAGTCAGATGTTTGTTTCATTTGATCATGGATTAAGCCTAAAATAATTTCTGAGTCTAACGAGGGAGTTTGGTGTTTTTCTAATACTTAACAGCAGTTTAGAGTCATTTAAAGCGATTCTTTGCCACTTTTTTAGATTTTTGAATGATTTTGTTGAGCATGTATGTGCTAAAAACAACCAATCACACTTGCAACTTCAGAGTGCCGGGCTGGTGCCTGCTGGACTTAGTAAAGTGGAGCTGACATACCTGGCGCTGCAGTCTGCTTCCAGCATGTTTGCTGCATTTTTCATGAACACAGCTGACTTGTTTGATTCAGTGATGAATCACTCCTGTAGACACAAAGGAAGGCTGGGAGACGTTTCAGCTGTTAGATTAAGGTGTTAAAAGGATGAACGCACAGCAACGAGACAAGTTTTGATTCTGGTTCTACAAACGGACACTAGGGCTGAATACTGCCTAGTCTCTCTTTAAAGCTGCTATAGAGAATCTCCTGGACAAGCTAGGTTTTGAACGCAAACAAGGTCACGGTACACCCACTCCTCTCTTTGGTAGGGAGTACTGAAATCCCACGATGCCAGAGGAAACGAGCTAGCGCTAAACACCAGTCTGTGGCAGCTGGCAGTTTCTTCTTTGACGATACTGAGCGGAGAACCTCTCACACCTGTGGTGTCCTGGTGCTGAATACGGGAGTGTGTGATGAGTGGAGGACCCAGGGAAGTGAGGTGGTTCGGTGAGACCGACACCTGGATGGTCCGATGGTTGGTTGGGGTCTTAAACGTGTTGTTGATGGAGGATTTTAGACAAATGAGAGAGAACTTTATGAATTTTTGTGTTTTGTTTTTCTAAATCTCCACAACATATTTATAGCTACACGATGTAGCTAGCTGCTAATGCTAACCCTGACCCTTCCCATAAAACCGCTGTTACAGCCACACCTTCCATTGCTGAGATAACTAAGCTAGCTTAAGCTTTTCTTGAAAGAATGACCAAAAATAATGAATCAGATGAAAGAGCCATTTGGATTTGATTCAGGTTTCGTTGACTTCATGCAGAACGAACGTTGTTTATTCAGTCAACGATACATAAATGTATAACTTTCTGCTTTTATTTCTCTGTTGCATTTTCATGTGAATCTTTGAGAATTGTCAGATATTAACTTTGTTTTTTCTTCCAAAAACAAGCCAGTTTACCTTGCTAAAAGATATGAGGAGAGTTGTTTTGGTCGTGACCTCTGTCTCGTCTCTGTTTCACGGTGAAACGCTGCAGAAGCTCTCCGCCCACCTCCAGCTCCAGCATCAGTATGCAGCCGACGCAGTCAGGCAGCAGAGTCCTGCAGAGCCTCAGAAACAATCTCATGAACTCACGGGGGGGGGGGGGGTTTCTGCACACCTGTTGTGGAGACAGAGCCACCAAAAGGAGCTTGTTTGTCATAAACGCGAGTTTGTCATAAATAATCATCAGGTTGATGCTGCAGCTTCCCGTTATCATGTCAGCGTGAAAAGCACCAGCGTGGCTTTTGGACAACGTCTCTTTAAACCCGACGGCCTCTCAGTGGCTGACCCAAACATCGATCTTGGTATTCACCGACGTTTTCATCTTACTGGTCAGGTGTTTAAAGTAGGATATTTGAACTGTAACGTCCAGGAATGGTAATCTGTGCTCATTGATTGAAGTGTGAAATGAATGTTATGGTTATGATTACAGTGATTGAACATGTTTCAGCATGTTCACATGACAAGGTCATCACCATTTGCACTCACACAAAAATAAAGTAGGTTAAGTTTGTTCTACAAAAACACACCTCAACAAATATGCAACAGACTTCAGACAACACAACATAAAATGAGACTCCAATAGGAAAGCGGGGGGGGGGGGGGGGGGGGGGGGGCTGGGATCCTGTATCCCCCAGTGAGAGCAGCCATCTACGGCGCTCATCTACTGTACAGTCACAGGTGGGAGGGAGATCTTGGGAGAAGCAAAGAGCACATTGACTCTGTGGTGTATTGTACTGTAATGTACATGCTGTTATGACGGTGATCACTAGGGGGCACTGGTGTCACGTGTTACTGTTGAGGTTAAAGAGTTGAGGCTGGAAGTAAAAGTTCGCTGGACCTAAACAGCTGTGTCTCAGTGTTTAATTACCTAATAGAAAACCTACAGAAGACCTAAGGAGACCAGGTAACACAACATGGTGTCAGAAGTTTGGCTGCCAAGAGAACAGAGACAACGGTTTGAGTAAGCTAGGTGAATTAGCATCGGGGCTAACGTCTGCTACCAAGACGATAAAATGGAGCAGTTTAGGCCGCCGTCTCCACTCAGTCTCGTCGGCAATCAATCTGAGGCATGGCGCAGGTGGGAACAGAGGTTCCAGCTCTACATGATAGCTACTGGAGCATCAGAAAAGGAGGAAGAGGTAAAAATAGCCATTCTTCTTCACACTATCGGCGAGGAGGCCTTAGAAGTGTACAACACACTCAACATTACCCCAGCCAGAGATGCACTCACAGTGGAGGAGGTCCTGAAAGCATTCAAAACATACTGTAGCCCGCAGAAGAATGTGGTTTTTGAACGTCATCAATTCTGGTCATACCCAATGTCACCAGGAATTGTGGTGGACAGGTACATTACTGAACTGCGTCAAAAAAGCAAGGACTGTGAGTTTGGTCAAAATGTAGATGATATGATCAGAGATAAGCTGGTGTTCAGCATAAATGACTCACGTCTGAAAGAGAGACTGCTTCGCGACAAAGACCTTGCTCTGAACAAAGCCATTGAAATCTGCAGGTCAGCGGAAGCAGCAAAGACACAGATCCAAGCAATGCAATTGAACCCAGTAGTCCAGGACGCTTCAGTGGACACGTTGAAGAAAACCCCCCATAACCTAAGACCAGGACAAGGTAGAATTAAAGCCAGCAACAAACAGACAGTTTGTACCAAGTGCGGAATTAAACATGAACCAAGAAAATGTCCGGCGTATGGAGAAACATGCCACAAGTGCAAGAAAAAAAATCACTTCTCAAAGTTGTGCAGATCTAACATTGACAAGGACAAGCCATACACAAAAACAAAGATGGTGAATAACTTGGAAGCTGACATGGACACCCTGTACATAGGTGTGGTGAGCAGTGACAAAAATGAGACAAATTGTTGGAAAGAAACAGTCACAATAAGGAAAGTGCCAATCTTTTTCAAGCTAGACACAGGTGCTGATGCAAATGTGCTTCCCATGCAGGTTTACCACAAAATACCAGGTCCTGTTCAGCTTCGATCTACAAAGACTGTGCTGATAGCTTTTGGTGGAGCTCGTATAAGTGCTGAAGGTATTGTGTCTCTTGAATGTGTAACTAGCAAAGGTAGTGCTGTGCTCGACTTCCTTGTGTCCAGGCAAGCGGACAAAGCCATTTTAGGTGGGCAGGCATGTGAGGAGCTGCAACTGGTGAAAAGAGTGGATGTGCTCACACCTAAGTCACACAAGCTGGACAAGCTACCAACAACAAAAGAAGAATTGGTGGAAAAATATGCTGAGGTGTTCACAGGTTTAGGTGAGTTCCCTGGACTTCATCACATATACATCGACCCAGAAGCCACACCTGTCATTCATGCATGCAGAAATGTGCCTCTCTCTATAATGGACTCACTCAAAAAGACACTAAAAGGCTTACAGGACAGAGAAGTAATAACACCTGTCAATGAGCCCACAGATTGGGTGAATAGTCTAGTTGCCACTCAAAAGAAGAATGGTACACTTAGGGTGTGTTTGGACCCTGGTGACCTGAATCGGGCAATTAAACGCCAGCATTACTCCATCCCCACATATGAGGATGTCCGGAGCAGGCTGGCAGGTAAATCTATCTTCACCATTTTGGATGAGAAGGACGGATACTGGCAGATTAAGTTAGATGAGTCATCTTCAAAGCTATGCACCTTCAACACGCCATGGGGCCGGTACCGCTTCTTAAGGCTTCCATTTGGAATCAAATCAGCCAGTGAAGTTTTTCAGCAAAAGAACTGTGAAACATTTGGTGACATACCTGGTGTTTTCATTATTGCTGATGATATGATCATAGCAGCGGAAACAGAATCAGAACATGACAACATCTTACAAAAGGTCATGGAGAGGGCGAAAGAGGTGAATGTGAGGTTCAACAAGGATAAGATCCAGTTCAAAGTGGACACTGTGAAGTACATGGGGCACATCATCACAGCAGCAGGACAGAAAGCTGATGACACAAAGATCAAAGCCATCGTTGACATGCCCACTCCAGAGGACAAGCAAAGTCTCCAACGTTTGCTAGGAATGACCAAGTTTTTGGCACAATACATCCCAAATGAGGCAACACTCACGGCACCATTAAAAGAGCTACTGAAAAAGAACACTGTCTGGCAGTGGCAACCACACCACAGTGAGGCGCTGCAAACACTTAAGACTGCCCTCACACAGGCACCCGTTCTAAACTTCTTTGACAGCAAGAAACTGTTAACTCTACAAGCAGATTCCTCAAAGGATGGACTGGGAGCATGCTTGCTACAAGAAGGTCACCCTGTGTGCTATGCATCTCGTGCATTAACAGACACTGAGAAAAGATATGCACAAATAGAAAAAGAGTTGTTGGCAATAGTGTTTGCCACTAAGAGATTTCACCAATATGTGTATGGAAGGCCAGTGATGGTTCAGTCAGATCACAAACCTCTTGAAGTGATCATGCGCAAACCGTTATGCAAAGCCCCAGCACGGCTGCAAGGAATGCTACTTCAACTACAGAGGTACAATCTCACTGTGACATACACACCTGGCAAACAGATGCACATTGCAGATACCCTCTCGCGTGCCACTACAAACAGTGCAAATGACATCACTGATGAGAATCTCTGTGAAGAGAGAGTGGTATATGCTTTGGAGGCAACAGATGCTTTAAGTGAAGAGACCCTCAACCAGCTGAAAATGGCGACAGCAGCGGACAAAGTGCTACAGGCTGTGCGTGAAAAACACATGAATGGCTGGCCCACAAAGAGGAGAAATTTGGATAAGACACTCCACAGCTACTGGCCAATGAGACATGATATTAGCATCCACAAAGACATTGTTATGTGTGGGAACAAAATCATGATACCACAAAACTTCAGGAATGTAATCTTGGAAAAGCTGCACATTGCACATCAGGGAGTACAACGCACTAAGTCTAAAGCATGCAAAGTACTGTACTGGCCAGGGATGGGACATGACATTCAGAACATGGTCGAGAAATGCTCACAGTGCCAACAAATGCAACCAAAGCAACAGGTTGAACCGCTTGTTCCCCATTCGATCCCAGAGCTACCATGGATGAAGTTGGGAGCGGACATTTTTGAGTTGCATGGTCAGTCATACTTGCTGCTAGTGGACTACCTGACCAAGTATCCAGAGGTACTGAACCTTTCTGACAAGACGGCTTGCACAATAATACAAAGGATGAAATCTGTATTTGCGAGACATGGGATCCCCAAGGAGATTGTGAGTGATCACGTTCCTTTTGCGAGTCATGAGATGAAATCATTTGCAACGAAGTGGGAAATAAAGCTTACTTTCTCCAGCCCAGGTTTTCCATCCTCAAATGGAATGGCTGAGAGAGCCATAAAGACAGTCAAACATGCTCTGAAGAAAGCATTGCAAACTGGTACAGACCCACATCTGGTACTGCTGTCTCTGAGGAATACACCAATTACAGGACTGAACATGTCACCTGCACAAATGTTGATGGGAAGAGTTCTCCGCAGCACACTGCCATGTTCCAGTGCTGTGCTCCAACAACCATCCCTACACAACATCCATAACAAAATAAGAGACATGCAGTTACGCCAGAAACAACACTTTGATAAACGTGCAAAAGCGTTGCCAGTGTTATCCCCAGGTGACACAGTGCACATGCACACACAGCGGGGATGGGAACCTGCAGTTGTTGTCCACCAAAGGAAGGAACCGAGATCCTACATGGTTCAAACCCCAGAAGGAAAGATGCTCAGGAGAAACAGGAGACACTTGAGGAATATCCACCCCAGTTTGTTCAAGGAGGTTCCTGAGGATGAACAGTCTGACCCAGAAGAACATTTCCCTGATGAGCCACCTAGGGAACAAGATGTCCCTCCTCCTGCAGCTGGAGAACGTTTGCCAACTTGTTATACATGCAGTGGCCGGGCAGTTAGGCGTCCTGCCAGGTTTGACGAGTGAGCGGACATTTATCAGAAATATGTTCTGCAAGTTTGCTTAGTTATGTTATTAAAAAAAAGTCAACTGAGAGGAATTATAGGAAGTGAGCTAGTAAAATGCAGTTAATAAGAGAATGTAATGTTTTGATGTTTGTTGAAATACTTAAATGGAACATTATGACTGCAGAAAATACACATGTAAGTTAACGCTTAAAGAAGTTAATGAATGGTTATAAACTGAAGTTATTCTAAGCAAGTTCATTCTGGAAAAGAGGGATGTGGTGTATTGTACTGTAATGTACATGCTGTTATGACGGTGATCACTAGGGGGCACTAGTGTCACGTGTTACTGTTGAGGCTGGAAGTAAAAGTTCGCTGGACCTAAACAGCTGTGTCTCAGTGTTTAATTACCTAATAGAAAACCTACAGAAGACCTAAGGAGACCAGGTAACACAACAGACTCCTGCAGATTGATGACCTTGCCAGGCTGAAGTCCACCAATCCGAAGGCGGGGGGGTAGGTAGAGTTTTCACAGCTTCTGTCTGCATTCTTTCGTGGGGGTTTGTTGCAGCTCAAGGCTACCAGGGCGTCAGATTCAGATAACAAGACTTTGTTTGGGTCAGGCTGAGATAATTTTCCTCTCTGCCTTCAGTCTTTAAACTGATCATTTCCAGTCCTTCAGTGAAGCCAATTTTGGGGTTTTAAACTTGTCCATACCGTCCGGTGACTCTCTCCGAGATGACATCCATTTTGTGCACTAATACCGGTATCGCAGCTAGAACATTGTCCAGCTTACGATTCACCCGAGTAACGTCCCAGTCTGTGAAGTCTCTACACGGACGGTGCTTTCCGTGGGTGCGGGTCGCCCTCCAATCGCTCTCGTCTTCCTAAATTTCCAGAAAACCAGATATCCTCCCACTCCAGTCAGGAGAAATCCAGTGATCATCAGGCCGAATATCCACACGTCTTCGATATCCTCAGTGGACAGCTGGCTGAGGCATATGATCTTCCACTCCTTCCAGGAATCCAGCATATATCCCACCGGGTGTGGACATGTGGGAGCCCCCTGCTCTGTTCTCATTGTTTAAAAAAATCTTATCAATCGTGTTGAATGACCAGTTTATCAAATCCATGGTTAAAAATAGGGGTTTTCGGAAGAAATGCAGAGAAGCGCTCTGTGGGCAGACAGGACAAAGAGCTTTGGGAAAAAAAGATAAGGGAGCGAAAGAGAGAAAGAGAGTAGCATCTGTACTCCGCGAGTGCCTTCAAGAAGCTGAGATTGTTTAGACTCCTTAAATAGTCCGCCAGATGCGCGGTTCCATCTGTCTGTTGTGACCTGGAGACAACTCCAAGACCGGTTTAGTTGTGCCGCAGTTCTTCTTTACAGACCTCGGTGCCTGGAAGTCCGAGGACTTCAGCATTCCAGATCTATCACGAGGGTCTTTGAGTGGGTACGTAGACAAAACATATTGCGTCTGATGTGTTTTGATAATAACCAACTTCATAGCTTAATGCAAACCAAATTCTTTTATATCCAGAACTCAGCTCTCCTAGATAAGGAAGTTCTGACCAACACCGCAATCACACCTAGGTTCATACATAACCTTTAGTTCCATCCATCACAGTAAATGCTTAGTTAACTTGTCATGTTTTCATTGTTGGTAAAACAAATTCTTACTTTTATAAACCTGACTCTTTTCTGAATCAAAACGAAGTGTGTACAATCCCTTAAAAAAGAAAGAATCCTAGATCTTCTGATTAAACACTGTAAAGACCAAGCAGAGTTGATATTCTATAGTTAAATAGAGTATCACAGCTTATTGGTCATAAGTAGAGGTAATATATATCTTGAGCTCTTAAATCACTCAATTTGCCAACCCTACAGGTCTGTTTGTAATTCCACAAACATTCATTTATTAAACCAGCTGGTTTCACAGCCCCCAACCTTTTCATTAATGCACTTCTTTAGGTTAACATGAGTACAATTTCTCTAGAAAAGGAAAAATGTACTTTTACTTTATTCTGATGAACTAATTTTTCTCCTTAAAAGTAGTTAAATCAAACAAATCCAGGTGATTTCTCAGGAATTTGGAAGTTTGCTGCTGTTTTATATATATAGCTTATGTTATTTATTTGTATTAATACAGTTTTTTAGATGAAATAGATGTTATGTAAGTAACATTTGCATATGTGATGAATAAGAAGTCTATTTGTGGATGTTTGTGTTGAATTCTCTGGTTTATAACATTCTAATAACACCAGTTTCACGTATAATTCATGTAGGAGTTGTGAACACAGGTTAATATAAAATAGTTGCTTCGCTCCTGATTTATGTTGCTGGAACTTTTCTATGTGACTCATAAATTAAGTAGGAGGGAAATATTTATTTTCTGCTCATAAAAACCAGATAACTCTGCTGCAGATGAGCTCAGACTTTTATTTAGATGGAAATAAACATGCGTCGGTAAATGAGCCGAGGATGAAGGTCTGCTGCTGCTCCACAGCCGTAATAACCCCCCACCCCCACCCCCCCCACCCCCCCACCCCAGAACTTTGACCTGGATAACAACAAAGGTGTGTGGCAGGTATTGTACCAGCAGCATAATGGATTCGTCCACCCCACATCTGTTTAATAGACTCATTTGCATAAAGAAATGAGTAAACCGTATTTGTGCTATCTGGAAACAGCAGCAAATGAGGACATTTATTTACCGTTTAGAGTAAAATCCAGAAGAGTGAGGCTGTCAGCGGTGTCAGTTTGATTTTCCCTGGAGCGACACTGACTTCAGCACGACTGGCGTCACACACAACATCCAAACTTACAGACGTCTAACGTTCCAGACGAGACAAAAGCTCTGATGGTTAGAAATAAGCATAGGTCTCATCAGTCCAAATGATCCAGACACTGCAACAAAAACAGATTTAACATTTAAAGCAACAAAATCAGTTGGTGACGTACTCCAACACACCTGATTTAATCCATCTATGCCAGCAGGGCCAGGATTAGGCATCGCTGGACAGATAATCCATGTTTCAGCTTCACCACTTCAGTGTTTTTGGTTCAGCAGCTGAAACAGCTCCTGAGGAAAATGTTGACTTTGTGGCAGCACCAGCGTCAAGATTACTTGGATGTGGGGTTAACTTTAACCAATCCTGCCAACAACGCCAAATGTGGCCAGGTGAAGAAATGAGGTCCAGGGTGGGATTCGATCCCCAGTCTCCCAGGTGAGGGACATCCCGTGGCCACGTAGCCAGGGCGCATGATCAGTCAGGATACAGTGACTCACCCTGTCACATATAGAAGTGTCGGTGAAGACGTAATAAATCCCCCTGAAAACAGAACAGGACGTTTAAAAGCTGCTAAATGGAAACAATGTGATGAAACCCTCTAACTGATCTAAATAAAGGACCAAATAAACAAAAGGCAGGAGAAGCTAGGAGAGAATAGAGTCAAACCGAACATGTTTTAGTGACACAGTGAGTGCATTTACATGCAGCCAGTAACCCTTTTAAAACCCAAATATTCACAATAACCCGGTTCCGCAGGTCCATGTAAACACCGCCAAAAGCCCGGATATGCTCATAACCGGGTTACTACACCTGGGGTAACCCTTTTCTAACCCGAATGTTTGGTCGTGTAAACGCATATCGGGGTATCCCCATCAAAGCGTGTGTTCTGCGCATGCTCTGTTCGCAAGGAATCTTGGTCTTTTGAGTAGCGAGACGTCTTGTATGCGCCAGAACACCGAAAGTAAACAACAAGTTGGGAGCAACATGGCGAGTCGCGGCACAGCACCACACTTTTGGAGTGACGAGGAAACCTGTCTTCATCGGTCTGGTGAAAAGTATGAACATTATGTCTTTTGTTGACGGCCGAAAGTACAGAGACAGCGAAATATGACACATATTGCGTCTGGACGTAGTCCATACGTCCTGACGCTACCCCAACGTCCGCATTTAAATCGGGTTATGCAAGTTAGGGGTAACTCTTTCTATTTATGCTTGTAAACGGGTTATTCTGATCAACTCAGAAACCCAAATACCGACCTTAACCCGATCAAAACCCGGATATTGGCTGCATGTAAACGTAGTCAATGGTGTAAAATCTCACTTGTGTGTAGAAAAGGTGAGTGACCCGAGTGACCTGTAAGGTTTAACTGACCTGTTGGGTCAGACGGAGGAACTTTAACTCACTAAAGAACATTTTAACGAAAGAAACTTTTATTCTGAGCTCAGCGTCATTTAGTCCCGCTCAGTTATAGCAACAACGTTTCTGACACCAAACAGGAAGAAATGTGACGTCATGAAAAGTGGATCAAACCAGGAGCTGGCGCCTTATCTGTGTGTGCACGCTTGTTACAGCAGTCAATGATAGCAACAAACACCTTTAACTTCGGACTGGGGATGGACTTTTACACCAGAAAGACCTGAGCCAACCAACAGAGGAGCAGAGGAGAGGAACGGCTGTTATTTAGGGAAGATGAAGGAAAGATCTGTTCTTTCAGGACAAACCAGGCGAGAAGTTACGGGCAGGGAGAAGTTTGGAGGGACAAGAGGAGTTATGAACTTTTATACAGCACATGCACAAGCTGACTCACACCTGCTACTGCCTCCAAAATGTAAAATATCTGCAGGGTTAGCAGCAGGAATCATATTCAGAACTGTGCTGGGCCAGAATGTAAAACAACCCAGAGCAGCATGGAGCTACAGACGAACGCTAGAGACAAACAAGAGGACAATCTGTTTATTTTTACAGCGATGAACAACAAGCTTACATCCTCCAGGCCAGCAGGGGGAGTCCAAGAGAAACTTGACGTAACAAAGGGTCATTAAACTATTTTAAACGCGTTTCTTTTAGGAGAAAGAAAACAATCTTTAATATAGCCCCTCTCAAGATAATCACGAGGCTCTTCACAAGAACAAAATCAATGTAGAAGATTTTTTTAAACGATTAAAAAACTGTCATGAAAATTAGAAAACAAATAGTAATTCAAATGTGAGGAAAGGGAGAGAGAGCAGCAA